AACAAAAGCGGCTTTAAGAGATGGCCAGACTGGTTTTCGACTGGAAATTGCGACTTGGAGCAGCAACAGCAACAGCAGCAGCAGCAGCAACAGCAACAGCAACAGCAGCAGCGGTGACCGCAGTCAACTCTCGAGCAGCTGCTGTCGATGCCGAAAAAAAATAAAAAACGTCACAGACCTTCCGAGCCAGCGTCGGAGTCAAGCGAAGTCAAACCAAGCCAAAGCCGTAAGCCAGGCCCAAAGATGATTTTTTCGAGTTTTTGAATTCTGAGTAAAACAATTTCCATTTACTTTGCAAACAGTGAAACACCAAAAAAAAAAATAACTCTGCTCAGACACAGCTGAAGCTGAAGCTAATCTCGTCTATTCGAGCTGGCGACATTTGCTGCTGGGCCGAGCTCTCTGTTGACGATGATCTTCATGATTAGCAGACATGTGCTGAATTTAAAAAGTGCCATAAACAGTGGCCGCGCAATCCGAATTCGTTGGAACGACATTATACAGCCCATATATACTCACATATATAAATGCCTAGCGGAGCCAGCAATGTGCTAAGCAAAGCTAATGAACAAAAATTATTTAATAATAATGGCACGTGCGTGTTTTCAGCTAGCTAACAAACAATCATTCATCTCTCTCTCTCTCTCTACTCTCTCTTAGCTCTATCTTCTCTCGATAAAAAACCTACATTGAACTTGTGCAACACATTAAACACATTTCTAATTAAAAGTTTCACATGTATAGAGGCTAGCAAACATTTTACAAACTTGTTACGTCGTAATCCAGTTTTAATAAAAATATTCTGATTATTAATGCGAATAGCTAAAAATAGAATAAGTCATAATCAAGCAAAATAATTCTTTATAAGACATAAAAATACTTTAGTAACTAGACAAACTTTAAGTAAGAACAAGAAACGAGGTCAAAAAATACATAAACAATTAGTTTGAGCTCGAGTTCAAAGCACTTTGAGCAATAAAAATATAAATTATGTTTTTTAATTTATTTTAATTTTCAATAAATATATATATGAGCAATAAAAATATAAATTATGTTTTTTAATT